CTATTCCTAAATCTTGAAGTAGTTTCATTAGGTTTTCCTCTAGAAGTTTCAGTTTGGGGTTTTAAGTTGCGATCTTTGATCCATTTTTAACTTTTATAAAAAAGATTTTATTTATTTATTATGTATACAACATTCTGCTTCCATGTATATCTGTACACCAGAAGAGGGCACCAGATCTCATAACGGATGGTTGTGAGCCACCATGTGGTTGCTGGGAATTGAACTCAGGACCTCTGGAAGAGCAGTCGGTGCTCTTAACCTCTGAACAATCTCTCCAGCCCCATTTTTAACTTTTTTTGTGCAGAGTGAAAGCTAGGATCTAGTTTCATTCTTCTATGTGTAAACATACAATTTTCCCAAATGCTCTAGTGAATTTTTTATCCAGCTTGGCCAGTTCAGTGGTCACTATTGGTCACAGTTTTCCAGATTGGTCTAGTCATCTAATCAGCCAGAACTAAAGAGGTCAAGGGTTAAGATTCCCTTCTTCCACTCCTTTCTTCTTATAAGCCCACACTGTAGAACATACTGAAGGGACAAGAATATGCCTTGCCCTTCACCAACCTCTGTTGGTTACCAGTGATACTCAGGAGAACTACAGCTTAGTAGGCACTATGAAGTTCTAGTGTTTATGAATACTGTTTTTCTAGTGTTAGTAAATTTTATTTCCCTTGCTTTCTCATGCTCAATCTTTTATCTGTAAATAGTGGTTCCAACAGTGAGGTCCTTAGTAGGACCTATTAGTTAGAAGCAGTCATAATTGTAAATTCTTGAGCTAGCTGTAATTCATTGTTTGTTTAACATGCACAAGGCCTTGAGTTGTAATCCTCAGTACTGCCAGAAATAAATATAAGAAGATACTACCCTCAGATTACTGAGAAATCCTAGGAATAATTCCCAAGTCCTTCAATGGGGTTTTGATGCTTCCACACTGAAGTTTGAAAGCAACTGTTCTAAACTGTCTTATTAATCTTCTTTTGAATTCAGATTCATTTAGCACTTATTAAAGCCTTAAACACCTCAGGTACTAGATATAGCCATTTACCTTATATGACATGGTGATGTAAGTGATATTATCTTCATTTTATAGGTGAGGAAATCGAAGCCCAGAAATGTAAAATGGTTAGAGGGGTAAAGCATGGACACAAATCTACTCAAAGTCCAAAAGAATAAGCTTCTGGTGTTGTAATCTGGAGCAGCTCAAAAAATTGAGGATGGTCAGCATGAATAGATTGTCTAAAGGTTTTATTGCCTAAGTTTTTCAGGGATATGTCTGGCTCTAGAAGAGAAGCAGTCGTTTATAATTCTGCCTCCTAAATAGCTGTTCAGTGATAAGGCTGGCTTTAGAGGTCTTTGTTCTGACTGTGCACCTTAATAGATTAGTGACCTTCTTATGAGGTCCTTCTGACATGTAGAAAGAAAATCTACCAAAACTCATCCTGAACTAAATTTATTCTAGGGCAAAATATTTAAAACAAATTACGCTGCTAGTTAAATACTTATTGTTAAATTTGTATAATGAAATACTATTTAGTCTTCGTCTTGGGTAGCCATATTTCACTCATCAGGTGGTAAAGTTCTGTTCCCTTCTAGTTCCAGTTTTTATCTGGAAGAACACTAGTGTTCATCATCAGAGCTTAATGGCCCAAGCTCATCAGGATAGGACATCCAAGAAATGCACACTCATGATTGGAGAGTGCCTGACTCCAAACTAGAACACTGATGCTTAAGTCATGATTACTCAGTTTTTGCTGTCCTACATAAATTAATTTTTCTTGCTTGTTTTTATTAAGCCACAAAAGTCCTAGATATGTATTTGGAATCTAATAGAGGGTTAGTCTAGTCCAAGAACACTGTAATGTAATGAACAGCCTTACCTCAGGCTTCTCTGTAGAGGCAAGGATAGGAGCTAGTATTTGCATTGTCATTGAGCTAGTGGGGGTGCAGAATTAAAACACCTTTGCTTCGCTGTCAAGAACAAGTTTATGAAAGAAACACTTTGGTTAATATGGGTAATTTGATAAACCCTCCTTTTAAGAGAGAAGCCTGGTAACTGTTTTTATTTTCTAGTTAAAATTACTTAGTACCTGCTACCACCCCACCTACAGACATACGCCTAACTGTGGCAAGGCATTGAGTATTTTTGTAGTCAGAAGTTTCTGTACCCTTGTCAAATCTTGGTCTGTGGAATATTATCTTAAGAGTAATATGAGAAGAAAAGCATTACAATGTAGAAAAGGAGTTCAAAGATGGAAATGGGGCTTAATAAAATATGTTTCAAAGTCAAATGCTGTCCTCAAAAGCTATATACAAGGTTGAAAATTAAAATTATACTTCAACTTAAATTTTCTCAAGTTTTCAATTAGAAAGGCTATATTTGATATTGGGACCGAATTTCAGTTCTCTTAATCAGATTTGAGACAGGCTTCAAAGAGTTAATGCATATTAAGCATTATTCATAAGCAAATCAAGAGCTGGCATAGCAACAGCTTCTCCCCAGGGAGGAGAGGAGAGAGGACAGGACAGGACACAGTGTTCACAGTCTGTGGTTGGAGAAGCCAGCAGTAGCCTAGCTGTATTGTTTACTCTCCACCCACCAGAAGGCACTGGTGTAGTGAAGAGAGCACATGTGTCTGGGTTTAGGATGCTGAGCACAGAAAGCCCCATTTGGTGACTCATCCAGAGCACTAAGGCATTAGTGCAGTATTAGTGCAGTACAGCTGAGTGGTTGATATTGTTATCTGTTGATATTCTATGCTATCTGATTTTTGGGATTTGGGCAGGAACGCCTGGAAGCGATGATGCGCCGGTCCCTGGAGCGTACACAGCAGCTAGAGCTGAAAAAGAAGTGTTCATGGGCAGGATCACCAGCTTCAGGGCCTGGAGGACGTGATGGTGAGTCTAATGCTATCTCTGCATTGCAGGGCCCCTATGGGGAGATCACGGACATGACTGGATGGCTGCAGGATTTGGAAGATGCTGTGCACGGCTTTACAGGCACCTTTTCAGATGCTTAAACTGCCATGCGTCCTGTGTGTGTATGCATTTCTCATAAAGGGAGTTGTCATTCTTCTTGCTATCAGATAGCTGAAGCATGAATACTGGGCTTTGGGAAAGAGCAAAAGAAAAGCAAAGGAAACAAATACAGAGCCTTATAGCTGAACTAAGCATGCAGATACAAAAATAATTTCATTTCAGGAGAGGGAAATGGCAGGAGGCACAGTCACAGCCCTAGATGTGACTGGAAAAGGCACAGCAATTACTCTCAAAGAAGGGCTGGGCATTTTCCTTCTTCATTATGATTTTTTGTTGCTCTTTTGATTTCATTTTAAAGCAATTTATTTACTTCATTATCCAATTCATAATCATCTTTAAATTTTCAAATGCCTAAATGTATGGATTATTACTAATATCAGGATGACTTTTTCCTCTTTTCAGTGTCATAGTCTGTTTCAGTGATCTCAGTATTCTGTTAAGCAGGAGTTGTGTACTAACTCTTTTTGAGAGCAGATATTTAAATTACCATCTCTTGACTTTTACATCTTGTTCTATTAATCATTAGGCAGTGAATACACCTTTTCTTTATTCTTTTGAGAAGGCAATAACTAATTTATTACTTTTCTAATTCTTTATTAAAAACTAAAGTGCAACAACAAATTGGAACTTTTTCTTTTACCTCTCTTTGCTCTGATTTTTTCTGTGTAGGTGAATCAGAAAATACCCCACCCCTTCCTCTAACTTTAGCAGCCAGCACCCTCCCTTCGGACACAGGGACCACTACAGCTGCTGCCGAGTCCACCAACGGTATACCCGAGCATCACCATACCATAGTGTTTTGTGATAACTGTTCTGATCACCCTCCTCCATCACTGTGTCTGTCTCAAGTACTTTCACAATTGATTTCTTAATCTGACCTGTCATGACTTTTTCTCTAGATCTGTGAATGACATGCTCATATGTTTTTGTTCTTAGAGCTGCATGCCTTATATCTTAGTGTCCTGGAGACATTTCATCCTCAGCTCACTAACTTCTGCCTTAAAAAAACTCTCATCAGTATTGGACTTTTGTGCATTTAGACATTTAACAGTCTCATTGGTCATCTTGTTTTAGGTAGCAAGTAGCAAGACACTTTCATTACTTTAGTGAATGACCAGAAATCACACAAATTTCTAAGTAGAATACTTGAGCTTGGTTAATGTGACAGATTTCTGGTAGTGGTAGGGAATTTATCAGTACTAACATGGAGAATTCACATAATTAGACAACTTGGCTTTGTACCTAACTCTATCTCTGTCTAAAAGGCTGTCTGTTTTAGAAACATGGAGAAATCTTAAGAGCAAAACTTAGTTTGCATTTAGTAATGACTTTAGAAATACTGTAAATTTTAATGATAAACTGAAAATGAGAAATAGAAGGGATGTGATATTTATCAGCAATCAGATAGAGAGGCATATTATTTGTAGAAATAAATATCTTTGATTTTTGACTTTCCTCTGACACAGAATAACATTGGTAGTGTTAAGTATCACAGATTTTGCTTCATGGGTTGAGATTTGGTCTCCCCCCCCCCTGGAAAGGTGAGAAAAGAGTATTACTACACCTAAGGCGAGTAATAAGGTGAGGTGAGTGACTCAGACATAAAATTTATGGGAATGCCAAAAATATCAAGATTAGATAATATTTTAATGCTGTATTTTAAAAAACTTAAACCATAGAACAATCCATGTTAAACAAAATAATCTCTCTTCCTCCCCTACTTCCCTGGGGAACCCCTGGTGTTACCTATGCTAAGCAAGCACACCAACACTGAGCAACATCCCTGACACAAGTATTGAATTTCTAGACACTGTGACAAACCATATCAGAGCCTGAGGCAAAGGGGGAAAAGTGTACAGATATATACATGGTTTTATAATTTCTAGTGGTTGCTTATTTTTCCAGAAATTTAAAGTAATTAAAATCAAACAGTGAGTGTTAAAATTTAAAACATTATTTCAAGTATTTTATGTATCCTCAATTAAAATATGTTATATTTTGATTTTAGCTTAGTTAAAATGATTTAAGATTGCCACTTGGTGGGCGGAAATTGCCATATAAAAGGAATTCTCTCATTTGAAAACATAAGTTAAATTTTGGAAATATTAGGAGTTAGCTTTCTCATCAGTAATGCATACATAATTTTACATTTGCCTTGTGTTGTAGCATAGCTTCACAGGCACTGTTAGCACTTTTCTGTTGCTTGTAATGATTTAACTTAGAAGCTAATCTAAAACATTGATTGGAACATGAGAACAAATAGAGGGTCAAATGTTTAAATCCTTACTGTATTGTTAAAGCATTTGCAAAGAGCCATTTTGATGGTATCTCTTAAAAATAGGAAAATCAGCAACTGCTGAAGCTAGTGCTACTTTAAACACAACTCCTTGCAATACAAATTACATTCTTTTTCCAACCTGAGCCTCAAATAACCTCCAGGAAAAGTTATGTTTCAGCACATATAGTTTTAGTCAAGGTATTAGATATTTCTAGGAACAGTTGTCCCTGGGTCTAGCTAGGTTAGTTTTGTTTTTGTTTGATGCAGATATATTTAAAAATCCAGACGCAAAAAGCCCAAGGTGGGATTAATATCATTTTAGCTGAGTATCTGAGTGAGTTTGAACATTTAAAGAGAAAAGCACAGTGAAGAAATTGCAAACCAGTGGCTGTTGTAGCATGGATGTTTCCAGATTAAGATAATGGAAGCAGTGTGCTATGCTGCAACGGAGCACCACTGAATGTGTGTGGATGAGGACAGGAAGGACACTTTGAGATTTGTATTCACAGGCTACAGTGATATGAAAACCAATGTCTTTAATGCATTTCTCTGCAGCATGTGACAAACTTTCAACATCAACCATGAATTTGCCAAAGCAGACGGAGCCTCCTATGAGTAAACGCCTGTCTTCATCCACCGCGGCAATATCTTATTCCCCAGACCGAGGCAAGTGAATGGGTAGACCTTGTCTCTCCAGTTTGCTTCTTTCTGGTGTGAATGTCTTAATAGTGCCCTTTGTGAAAGCCTCCTCTCAAGCCTTCTGCAAATAATACCACTGTCTTAACCTCTAGGGTCTGGCTAACAAGACTTTGGAAAGTGGTATTGTTCTGTAAACAAAGGTCATTGTTGATTGATAGGAATTTATAGTCTCCCAATCTGCAAGAACCTATTCCACAGAGCATGGAGGAAGGTTGCTTTGTTTTGTTTTTAAAGCACTTGCTGGGTCAGTGATGTAATATAATTGATTAGCCAGAAAGAGCAGAATTGATTAGAGTTATCTGGGGGATTTGATATTATGGGAAAAAAATGGGACTCTGAAGTCATTCATGGTTTGTAGGTCTATCTAGCTTATAAATGAAAACAGAAGTACAGTAATAATGAGAACTTTTTTCATTTATTTTACATACCAACCACAGTTTCCCCTCCCTTCTCTCTTCCCATTCCCTCCCCCCACCTCCCATCTCCCCCGCCTACCATTCCTCCTTTGTTCAGAAAGGCTCAGGCCTCCCATGGGAGCCAACAAAGCTTGGCATATCAGGTTGAGGCAGGACCAAACTCCTCTCCTTGCATCAAGGCTGGGTGAGGCATCCCAGCAGGGGGAAATATGTTCCAAAAAGCCAGCTCATATACCAGGGACAGATCTTATTCCACTGCTAGTATCTCCACAATCAGACAAAGCTACACAACTGTCACCCTCATGCAGAGGGCCTAGGTCAGTCCCATGCAGGCTCCCTAACTGTTGGTCCAGGGTCCATGTGCTCCCAAGAGCTCAGGTCAACTGTGTCTGTGGGTTCCCCTGTCATGACCTTGACACATACCCCCCTCTGCATTTGCTTTCATCAGGTACTGGATGAAGGCTCTCTGATGACGATTAGGGTATTTACCAATATGATTACAGGGGAAGGCCAGTTCAGGCACCCTCTCTAATATTGCAAGGAGTCTTAGCTGGGGTCATCCTTGTGGATTCCTGGGAATTGCCCTGGTACCAGGTTTCTCCCTAACCCCCAAATGGCCCCCTCTATCAAGATATCTCTTTCATTGCTCTCCCCCTCAGTTCTGCCCCCAGCTCAACCAACCTGATCCCTCGTGTTCCCATCCACCTATCCCCTGCCTTCCACCCCTTCCTGCTCCCAGTTTACCCAGGATATCTCATCTATTTCTCCTTCCCGAGGAAATCCATGCAGAGGACCCCCTTTTATTTTTTCCATTTTTTATTTGAATTAGAAATAAGCTTGTATTACTTGTCAATCCCAGTTCCCTCTCCCCTCCTCCCCTACCAGCTCCCCAAAGGACCCCTTTTTTTAAAAAGGAAAAGCATGAATGACCTTTTAGGCAGCGTTTTGATTTGGAATAGATAGATAGATAGATAGATAGATAGATAGATAGATAGACAGACAGACAGACAGACAGACAGACAGACAGACATAACCATTTCCAGAACCTGAGTAGATGTAACAGCATCTGTGTTCTAATGGAGGCTCAGAAGAGTTGTTGGAGGCCTGAATTTTTTCTTTTTATTGTGCATAGGTTAAGAAAGAGAGGGCTTTTCTTATGTAACATGCATATCCTAAAGCACTGAAGAAAGTCAGGTACTGGAAGACTATTAAGGTTGTCAGATCATCACCAAGGGGATGATCCAGAGGAGGTTTGTGACTTGGAAGAGGATGGTGGGCCTTCCTCATTGTCATTCACTGGCATTGACTTTTCCCTCCATTCCAGAGGTATGATGTGTATAGCAGAGTCCCCATAAGTGTCATAATGCTGCTGATTTTTTGGTGCCCATTCATGGTAACCTCTAGAAACATGGAAGGAAGGAAGGGTTTGAAAATACATAACACTTTTAACTCTATGACTATTCCTCTAGTGAACATATTCCATATTTTCTCAAATTCATTACTTTACATTGATGAACATGCAAACATAAACATGCTGTATCATGGTTGACAACTAAATTATCTGCTTGTGTGTTCTAAATTGAAAATCTTCAGTCTCCATACCATTTACTAAATAGATATCCAAACAATATCCATTGTCATATATCATATCCTCAAACCAAAACATTTTAGTTAATAGATTTTATTTTTCCTTTTCATTTTTTGAGTTTTTTTGTTGTTTTGGCATAGATTTTTCAGGCAGGATCTCATTCTATACTCCAGACTGACCTTGAACTCCTGATATTACTACCTCCCAAATGCTAGGTATAAATCATCACATCCAATGGTCACTGAATTTTGGATCATGAATCCTACCTACTGTCTTTCATTAAAGCTGATAATCAGTTGGCTATTATTTTTCTACTGTTTGTATAATTTTGCCCTTAAAAAAATTCAGAAGATAGGAAAGTGTTTATTTTTGTACTGTTACAGGATGACACTTTTCATTTTAAAACATTAGTGTTTTAAAATATTTATTTATATATTTTTAAATTTTTTAATTGAAAATAGATTCTTCTCTCATATAATACATCCTGACCACAGTTTCCCCTCCCTCCACTCCTCCACGCTCCTACTGACCTCCCCCTCCTTGAGATCTATTCTCCCTCTGTTTCTTAAGAAAAGAGCAGGTCTTCAATAAAGTCTAAAATGAGGTTTTGTAGTCTTTCTCTTTTTTGTAGATGTAATCTTTCTTTTTCTAGTGTTAGATATACTTACTGAGTAAGTGAGTCCATATAACTTTTGGAAGGGAGTTAATTCTCTTAACTAATAGAGGTCACTGTGCTTGTTTTTTTTTTGTTTGTTTGTTTTGTCTTGCTTTATTTTGTTTTTGAGACAGATCTTTACTGTGTAGCTCAGGCTAGCATCAAACTCAGGATTCTCCTGCTTCAGTCCCCAAATGCTGTGATTATAGGTTATGTACCATTACATATAGCTCAGGTCACTGTAATATTGTGTTAAATTAATTCTAGTGCCACAAGAGAATGAATGAACTTTCCTAAGCTCTTAAGTGATGTCTTACTTTTTTGATTTTACTAGGAAAAACTCCAAAGCCATCCTTTGTTAGAATTATTTTTATTTCCACATTTGTTCTGCCATCATGTTAAATGCCACCATGCACTATCTTGTTTAAACATTTTCTTTTACTTTAATTCTGCTTCTTAAAAATTTTAATTTAATTCTGTCCCTCAGCTCATCGCATGCACCTTTGTTCCATGGAAACCTTTCTTGTTTCAAGAATGCTGACACCCACACAGGCTTCTTTAGCCAGAAACAGAAGTACATACATGTTCTCAGAGCAGGCCAGTGACTGAGGTAAAAGAAGCCAAGCTGTGAAGTCAAAGAAAATGCCTGAAACAGTTTTTATCAGCCTTGGATTCATTCTTGAATTTTTGCATTTTGCTTCTCATTTTCTGGCTTTGTGAAATGCTTTCAATGGTTAATAGCATTTTCTGCTTGACAGTATTTTGCTATTGCTGTTTGTTTTAAAACTGAATAATATATAGGTGAGTAAATTATGCTATGACTGGTGACATGTGAATCAGGTAGAAAATCAACTTGGTGGGCTATAGAAGTTAGTAGACTTTTCTTAGATCATTTAGAAAAGTAGCATATAGATCTTACAGCTGCTCTACCACTCATTATTGCTCATATATAAAATGGGAGTTTTTGTTTTTTATTTATTGTAATGAAAGCTAAGTATAGTCATGAAAGCTTGTAATGCCAGTTACTTAGGAGGCCAAAGTGGGAAGATCATAAGTTTAAGGCCAGTCTGGGTAACATAGCAAGAGCATGTTTCAAAAATTTAATATTTAATGTTAAATTATCATGAGGATTAAATGAGATCATAGTATTAATAAGATAGCACACTGGTTGGCACAGAGTAAGAGCCCAAAGAATGTTTAGAGCCTTGCTACTTAAAAACGTGATCCATGGATCAGCAATGGGAACTTTGTAGAAAGGCCAGCTCTGAGATCCTCCCTAACCTGCACATTAAAGTCTGACAAACACTGGCCTTCCTTCACAAAATATGATTATATCATGATGTCAAGATTTAGGGCAAGCATTTTCTTCATTTGCAGATGAGCAGCACAATGTCCACATAAGGTTGACTCTGGTCTTCATTCCCAACATAGTATGTTTGGTGAAAATGACATCAAGTTACATAGGATCTATTCTTATTGCTTGTTTCTTTGGGGTGGGGTAGGGACAAAAATCTCATGTAGTCCAGGCTGATCTCAAACTTGCTATATAGTTGAAGCTGGCCTTGAACTCCTGATCCTTCTGCCTCCATCTCCCAAGTGTTGAGATTGCCAGTATGTGTCACTATGTCTGGCTATAAAACCTCTTAAGTGGTTAGGATATGTTTTACAAAGAAAGGTTAGTGACTGCTTAATGGGTAAAAGGTTTCATTTGGGAGCCTTAAAATTATTTGGAGTTATAGTTATGATTGTGGCTATGATTGTGAATATACTAAAAAACAACACTGAACTGGACATTTAAAGGGGGAATTATATATGCCGATTCTACCTCAACAACATCCCCCCAAATTCTTAGCAAGTATGAAGTACCCTCATTTTGAGAAAGAGAAATGTTTCAGGGGTCTCTAAGACTAAGCCCAGGTTTGATGATTTGCTCAAAAGATTCAGCATACATATATATTCACCTCTTTTATTTATTATGATGAAAGGGTATACATAAAAATCCAAAAAGGGGAAAACAACTAGGGACAAAAAGTCTAGGAAAGACAAGGCACAAGCTTCCAGAGTTTCTCCAGTATAGTCACTGAGGATGTGTTTCATGGAGTTAAGACAATGATTAACTGCCAACCAGGGAAGCTTTTTTTAAGTTTATTTATTATACAGTGTTCTGCCTGCATGTATGCCTGCAGGCCAGAAGAGAGCACTAGATCTTATGATAAATGGTTATGAGCCACCATGTGGTTGCTGGGAACTGAACTCAGTACCTCTGGAAGAGCAGCCAGTGCTCTTAACCTCTGAGCCACCTCTCCAGCCCCCAGGGAAGCTTGTTGATGCTGAATTTTTACAGGGTTCTAACCATGTGAACTCCTTGCCCAGTGAAAGTAGATATTTGGATTGTTTTTTACATACAGTTAAGACATAATAAATTATACACCACTAATGGTGGGAACCTTGATCAAGTCAAATTCCCAGGTATTATTGTTCAGATACCCACTTTAGGAGCTGGTCTTTCCAAGAACAGCAGCCTAATCTTAACACTGTCTTCTGAATAGTCTATACCCTTGACTCATTGCCATGGAGTCTTCAACCAATAGGATCCATACAGAAGATGAAGCAGGCCTGTTGCATTGATCTTACTTGTAACCTTTTGGTAACCTGGGCTTAGAAATAGAATAAAATCCTATTAACCTTAAAGGTATGTCTTAGCCAGATTGCTTCCTGGTCCCTTCTGAATATTTTTCATCTGGCCCAAGCACAGCTCTGGCCAGTAAGTAGAAGTTTACCTGACCAACTTCCATGTCTGAGGCAATGTTATGACATTAAGGGCACATACTAGAAGTAGTACCATTCTCGAGGGCTCATGGGTTCCTATGGAAAACAAGAAGCTAAGAACTTCAGGGCACTTGAAGCAGAAGATTCATTATCAAGAAACACCCCCAATGTGACCTCGCACTTTTGTGCCTCTCACCGTGCCCCAGAGTGCTTAGTACAGTGGGAGTAATTCATTTCAGTCTGTGATTCCAGAGGTAGTGCCTGAGGCTACCAGTTCCAAAGCCCCCTTCTGCTGGTGGTACTGGCTCATCTTCCTGATAAGTGTAGATAGTATATTAATGTGCTCTATTGGAATTATATCAAAATTGCCCCACCACAGCTTACTGAGTCATACACTTATGTGCAGTCTGGACTCAGAAATCTGTGCTCATAGCAGCTTACACGGGCATTATGGGAAGCTTCTTCTGGAAGAAAGAACTTCCACGAGCAATTCTGGAAAACAGATTGCAGATATCTTTGTGATAGTGTCCTCCATGCCACTACAAGCTGAGTTTTGTTTGTATTCTATTCATCAGTCAAAACATTTTTATGAGTGGGAGAGGAAGAGGAGAAGAAAATAAAGAAATATTTAATTCAGCTTAATCAGAATGATACACCATGTTTAGGGATAATTCAAAGTAAAATACTAAATTTTCAAAGAACTTAAAAGTAGGTTTATGTAACTTCCTATTTTTTTAGCTTAGTCATTTATCCAGTGACCAGTGTAAAAACAATCATTCTGTTTTCTTGGGACAGCTACCTGGAAGAAAGTTTACCTTAGGTGTGTGTACTAGGAAAAGGTAAATTAAGTAGAGTCAGGCCCTAAGTCCATTGTTATAAACCACAGCTACTTTAAAAAAAATTGAACAGAAAACAGCAATGATGCATCTTGACAACCTTTCCCAGACTGTTGCTTTACAAGAACATACCCAGGCTCTGCATCAGAATTATAGCTCTGAAGAACAGCTTGGATTTTTTGGCTGGTGCCATCAGAGACCTGTCCCATGGACATTTATATATAACTGAGGTAGTCCAGCAGTATTCAGAATGTTTCGTTTCACAGTTTAGACACCAAATGAGGGATGTGTTTACAGTAGTCTCTAATTGAATTTTAAAACTCTAAAGTATCCCTCTTCTCGAAGTTGATTCTTTTCAGTCTCTATTCCTAGACAAAAATCATAGTAAAAACTCACTAGTTTGAAACTTGTTCTGGTTTCAGTACTCAGTTCCAATCAACCTACTGATGACAAAACCAAGAAAAGGTTGTCTTTTTCCCATTTCCATTGAAGGGGAAAACAAAAACCACTCTCTGACTGTGATTCTTAACCTCAATTTAGGTAGCTTGTCCAAAAGTAGCCAAGAAATCCCCTGAAGCAGCACTCTTGGAGTTTCAGTAGTTATCTTCAAATTCTGTAGGTAATTTTCACCTCTCACAACATCTAGCTGTTTCATATGATAGCCAACAACTCCATAGGTATACAAGTACCACAGGTTCACTCCTCCATCACCCTTTTTCCAAACATTTTTACTTCATTTTTGTGAATTGGAGTCATTGTAGCAATTCTACCTCTGATGTAACTGTTTCTGCCCCCACCCCAACACCAAGGTTTTGTGATGCATTAGTAGAACTCAGAGGACTCATAGGTGATGGCTATGATTTATTATAATAGCAAGATACACAACCAAGTTAACAAAGGGAAGAGTGTATGAGAACTACAGAGGAAAACAGGTATAAGTTTCTAAGGATCTCCTATAACAGTCATACAGGATATGCTTCATATAACATATGACTGTACATATAAATTGTTGTCTACTGAAGAAGCACTCTAAAGATTCAGTGCCTTGGGCTTTTATTAGGAACTAGTCATGTGGGCAATCTTTACTAAGCAAACACTCAAACTTCACACACTTAGAATGTATTATTTGTACAAATGGGTTTTTAGCACTCATAAGTGAATGATACAAACCATCCTAAAATCTAAGCTCCTAGATACTAGCCAAAGAGCAATCTTGTAAGCAAACCCACAAAGGCAGTAGTCAGGACTTCTGTGTTCTTCCTGTGTAAGGAAACTGAGTCTTAGAGTCAGTAAGTACCCTGCCCATGGTAATCCTGCAGTAAAGTCTGCTTAGCTCCAAAGTACACTTTTAACCCCTCAAATGAACTTGACTCTTGAATCTTGGGAGTCATATAAGATGAAATCTATTCTGTATACAGTAGAAAAAGCATATTTCAAAAATGTGGATTACACATTACATTTTTAAAGAAATATTTTCTTTTCAACCTCTGATTCTCCTGCCCTTTCCATCTGTGTTTCCTGTATTTTCTGGCTATTATGCTGTAACTCTCTAGTATTCCATGCCTGTCCTCATGTAGCTCTTGGCAGCCCTCTCAAATCTTCATACAAGTCCTCTCCAACCCGGACCACTGAGAGAAAGAAGGGTACACCTACATCTGGCATGGGAGATGCTGGGAAGGGAGTCGTGGCAGGAGCAGAGTCTTCTCAGGTAGGTTTAAATGCTCTCTCTCACTCTTTCTGTACTGTAATTTGTCTGACAGTGTGATTGTTCCTACCATTGACCTGGGGTCTCAGTTTCTGTCAGTCTTCAGGGACTGTTTAAAGGATACATTTGGTTTAAGTTTTTTTTAAATCAAACTTTGGGAAATTATCAAACATTTGCATCCCCCTGAATCTTAATGTCTTGTATCAGATTACTAATAATATTGTTTGGATAATACAGCCTTTCTTTCAGAGGACACAAGTCAGAAGGAGTATTTTAGGGGTCTTCTCTGCTTCCTCAAGGCTCCTCCTCTAGGAGTCTTGCCTCTGGACATAACTAAAACTGAGGTTCTAGGTCAACATTCACTCACAACAGCCTTTGAATGTGTTTTTAAATCATGTTTTATTTGAATTAGAAACAAGATTGTATTACATGACAATCCCAGTTCCCTCCCTTCTCCCTCCCATCCTGCCCTACCACCCATCCAACTAAAGCCCTACCTATCACATATCCTTTCTTCTATTCTTCCCCTGACTCAACCTTTCTGCAACCCTCATGATCTCTGCATCCTTCCTCTTCTTCCCTTCTCATCCTTGTAGCTCCCTCACCGCTCCTCCCATGCTCTCAATTTGATCAGGGGATCTCGACCCTTTCCCCTTTTCCAGGGGACCATGCATGTCTCTCTTAGGGTCCTCCTTGTTTACTAGATTCTCTGGCAGTGTGGATTGTAGGCTGGTAATCCTTTACTCTATGTCTAAAATCCACATATGAGTGACTACATATCATGTTTGTCTTTTTGTGATTGGGTTACCTCTTGAAGAATGGTTTCTTCGAGTTCCATCCATTTTCCTGCAAATTTCAAAATTCCATTGTTTTTCTTCTGCTGAGTAGTACTCCATTGTGTAAATGTATCACATTTTCTCTATCCATTCTTTGGTATAGGGGCATCCAGGTTGTTTCCAGTTTCTGGCTATTACAAATAGTGCTGTTATGAACATCGTTGAACAGATGTCCTTGTTGTAAT